ATATAACTATATAATAAACAAATATAATTTTTCTATCGTCTCGACTTATCCTATATTTGTTATTTATTATGTCCCCTTCTAAAATACCTCCTCCTATAATCTCCCCTCCTATAATCTCCCCTCCTATAATCTCCCCTCCTATAATAACAATTTATTAGCTCATTGACTGGACTATCGTCGACTGCAGTAAGTAAGAGGCCCGCGCGTCACTATGGAAACGGAGTGGGACACGTGGTAACAGTACGACTTGCAGTCGCCTGTAGTAAGTGCAGATTAGGGCGCAATTTTTTCGCGGCCGGCTATCATTTAGAATTTAGATGATGAGAGGTCAGGGCCTGTTCTGCTTTTGTTAAAGTTGTTTCATAGTTTTCACGGAATTTTACGAAGCACCATGGTAAATGATAGACTAAAACTCTTAGCTATGATATCAATAAATAGAAATTTAGTTCTGGAGATAAATAAATTTCGACGAAAAAAGTCATGGAAAAATGTATTTCAATGAAGGATCGTAGAGCAGATTTCAATTTCAGGAAGTCGTGCCATGAACTTTCGTAAAAACAAAAATTAAAAACAATATAAATGTGTCGATTTTCATGTTTGATTTTTTTAGAATAATTATTTTTGTAAGATGTTCTACTATAAGAAATATATTTCATTTTGTTTATTGACTCTTGGTATCTTTTCTATGTTAATGAAAAATAAAAACAAATTTTCTTATCCCCTCTCTCAAGCCCATTGGCGCCCCCCACTTCCCAGCTCACCAGCCGCTACTGTATTCACCAATAATGATGCATCATGTACTTGACTAATAGCTGATAAATTGATACATTTGAATGGGGCTTTGCAACAAAGAGTTTTAAAAATTTATTTTTTATCTGAAGGATTTATTTTTAACCCAATTCGTCGCCCTTATCACGAAGTGACCTAACCAACAAAAATTTAAAAAATGTTATTTTTGTGCGGATTAACTAATGTTGACCTACTTTATCATCTCACGAAGTGGCATGTCTACAACCTTAATAGTGCATGCAATACAGCATATTACTTCCGTGTCCTATCTGCAAAAACGCAGAATATTTTCCTCACGAACTGTTCTAAGTGACTTTAGGTATCTTAGTGAAGTAAAATAATATGTGATCCACAGGATAAACTGCAATCTAACTGAACAGCCGCTATGTTTATTTTGTGTAGAATCTTATGACTACATCGACAACTTCAAGAACGTACTTACATTCTGACTTATCCTTGCCCAAGATATACAATATGTTTTTGGAGAATCTTGAAAAACAAATTTTATTAACAAACCGAGTTATAATAAGTACCGAAAAATATTTAAATAGCAAAATTTATCTTTCTACAATCCAAAAAAGAATCAATCAATATTCCCTTTATATAACTTACTTTTAAGGACTTGTCACTGTAAAAGAAAATTTAAAAGACAAGTTCACATAGCATATTGCAAAGAAGCAAAAAGTACGAGAGTTAAAAGCTGAAGACAAAAAAAGAACAATAGAAGACAAATCATTTCTCTGTGGAGTTTTCGATTTACAACAAGTTATATACTTGCCAAGAAGCAAAAAGAGAATGCTATTTACTACAAAACAAGATTAGCAACATTTATCTTTACTTTTTACAATATTGGTACCAAAGAATATCTTTGCTCTCCATTGAATGAATAAACTTTAAGTACGAGAGGTTCTTCTGAAATCGTTACATGTATTTATAAATCATTGGAATAGTTTACGAATAAAGACCAAATTACTACCCTTTTTTTCTACTCGGACGGCTGCTATGGCCAGAATAAAAATCTTTTGATAATTGTGAAAAAATACCAACAAACCATGGGCATAGTGAAGGGGACTCTGACCATAGTACAATAAATACTGCCATAATAGGTGCTGGGGATCTTTTTAAACCCTCACAACGGCACACAATTTTTCGATTGGCGAGAAGAAAACAACCTTAGGTCGTCATTCCAATGAAGTACTCAAATTTCTTGTTTATCACGAAGTGGCATATTATTTTAATTTTTTAAATCCCGACGAAGTTTGGCTTATCTGGAATTACCAAACAATAAAACCTTAGCCTTAGCATTCCATAAAAAAATTTTGAAAGCGCAAACTCTATGTCGATTATGTCGATTTGAGAATGACGTATTTTCGTTTTATTGCTTTCTTGTAAAATTTACTATTTGCTACTTATGCCACTTCGTGATGAGGACGACGAATTGCTTCAAACCTAAAAAATAAAAAAATAATGGAAAAATTCGAATAAATTCGAAAAAATTGGAAAAAATTAAAATTTGATGACACTGTAATATGTAATTTAAACCGTAGATTTCATAATTCATAATTTATAACACCTACACAATTTTGATTAAAAATCACGATCACTATAAAAAAATTTAGGAAACCCAAACTTTAAAAGCATCATAACTCAAAAATAACTATGAGATAAAAGTGCTTGTGTCTATTTATTTATTTTTTAGATTTTTCGAGGATTAAGGAGATAATCTATTATCAAATGAAATTTAACGAGGTCAATGATATATGTACTTAATTTGATCAAATTTCAAGTGTTCAGTCAACATTTTGAATATTTCAGTCAGAATATTAAGAATAATATACACTTACTATAAAATTTGCCTTGGGTTTTCAATATTATTACTGATAAAATATTGGAAAATTTAATAATAGTTGGATAAATAGTGACGATTTTAATATAAAGTAGATTCATTACATTTTAAGAAATCTTAAATAATCTAGGCTAGTAATTATTAAGACGTCTGTGGAAGTTGATTTTTTCGCGGTATTTTTTCACCCTTTTTAGTTTGAATTGTTTTCCTCTATTCACTTTAGTTTTAGTTTCTCTCTGTTTCATTTCTGATTGCTTTTTTAAATTTTTCTTTCTTATTTCAGTTTCATTTTCTTACATACTTGATTGTTTCAAATATGAGTATCGAGTAATACATTTCTTAAGGATTTGTACCCTAGTTTCCTTTGGTATCTTTGATATGATGCGATAATATATTACGAAAAACAGCTTAAATTATTTTTCCTACGACCACTTAGGAAAGTATGAATAAGGAAGGATTTACTTTCCACCCGTGTACGAATATGCTACTTTCCGCAGTAGCTGTCACAAAATGTCAAACATATCATTTCTATTTTGATCTATGTAATGTCCATATTAATACTAAAATCGATATGATTGTTAAATTATTGAAATTGTTGTAAATTAGATCCTAGATATATAGCTTTAACAATTATTATTAAAATAATTTTAAAATAACTAAGATATATTTGTTTTTTATTCTGGTTAAATCAATCAATTACCGTAAGGCCTGTTAGCTCAGTTGGTTAGATCGTCAACTTTGCAATTTGAGACCGTCGATCGACCGCGTTCAAATCCTGGCTGTGCCAGAATTTTTTTTTGTTTTTTATTTTTTTTTTGTTTTTCAATTTTTTTTATTTGTTTAGAAAATATGAAAATTGAATAAATACGATTATTGTTGATTATTTTTTTTAAATACATTTTAATTATTATAATAATAACCTGGTTTTACATTTTTTGATGAAATTATTTTGTGGTCGTAGGAAAAATATTGTACATTACTTGTGTGAAAAGTGATTTTCCACACTCGTAATGTAATATACTATGTTTTGTATGTGGATTGGCAATTCAGATTAATTTTCGCGCGCCTGTCATTTGTCACCTATAAGTAGGATGTTTATTTACATTGTGTAAGTTTTGGGCGGGCCTTTGTACATGTGATTTTCAACTGCTTTTAGATGTAAATCACTATAATGAATTCAACAAGATTAAAACACTTTAACAAAAATCTTTATCTACGAAATGCAAGAACACACTCGCATTGAGGTTGTTTTCGATTTTTAGAATAGAAATCCACCGTTTTCGCATGTCGACCCTCTCATAATTGCCCATTTTATTTTTAATAAGTACTTTACAGCTACCCTTCTCTTTTAAAAGTACAACCTTTAATACAGCAATATAGATACAATTTTTTGCTGGAGGCTTTTTCGCAAATTTCTTTTTTTATAATAGACCCTATCAGAGTTATCACACACTATAAGAAATAAAAAAATGTAATGGTCACAAACAAGAAAATTTCGAATTGATAAAAATTACTATCGGTGACAACAGACAACATAACATGGCCAATGTTTTCAACTGATTTTAAAACAAAATAAACTTAAATTAAAAAAAAAATCAATATAATTGAATCGGTTTTATAAAAATCCTTAAATAAATATAGAGTATGATAACATATTGGTAGACAGAAATTTCGCTACTTAAAAAAAAGGTCTTTCCACTCCTACAAGAGCTAAACTTTTACAAATTTCCTCCGGAGGGCGTAGCTTGAATCGCGGATAGCATTGTTGTCGAACTAATTTTCTTGCCCCGATATTTTCAATTCACACTGTAACGTTTATTTATTTAAACAGTTTATTTAATTTATTTACACCAAGACACTAATTTATTTGTACTAAATACAACACTAATGTATATCTCTTAATACTGATACACTAATTTATATTGACAATTTTTATCTGAACAGAACGATTTCTTAACTAAAACTCCTCTATGAACGGCAAACAGCCTATTTTTATCCACATGTTCTCGAAAGTTCTAGACGTCATTCCATTCGATCAGAACCAGAACGTACATCATTTATTACCAGAAATCATTGTCTCTAGGTAATTCATCATCATTCTAGTACATTCTAGATCGGATGATTCACTTTGAGTGACGGCGACCAGAGTCGTACCATAGGGGGTTTCGGAGAATGACTTTTTTAATCGAATATTCTCAATAACGGGAGAATGGAAGCTGTGAAAGGCAAAGAGGGACCCGAATGATCTAAAATAGCTCGCATGACAATATCTTCAAATTAAACTATAAAAATAAATTAAAAGGTTCTAGCATTTGTGTTGTTATGTTAATTTATTGATTGATATATTTTATTGTTTATTTTATAGTTAACGCCAGAAGACGAAGAAAGGCGCCGACGACGAAGAGAACGAAACAAAATAGCAGCAACAAAATGCCGTTTGAAAAAACGCGAGCGCACAGTTAATCTAATCCATGAATCAGAAACCCTAGAATCCCAAAACACTGAACTCAAGATACAACTTCAAGAGCTCCAGACCCAAAAACAAACCTTAATGGACATGCTGTCTATACACAGGTAAACATTGCCTTTTGGCTTCTTAGGAATAAAAGTCAAGTTATTAGATGGTGGTTAAAAAGTGATTTACAATATCTATGGATTTGTCTATCGGAAATTTTGAAACTTTGCGTTCTTATAGATTTTGAGATGCTCTATATGAATGTACACTTTGCCACCTTGTATATGTATATGTGTCTGATGGGTCAATAATATTCATTTCTACACTACCAAACGATAAATTTATGAATTATACAGTGTGTCTACTTAAGTCGTAATCATATAGAAAACTTTTCTTATTACAACATTATTTAAGAATATCAAACATGGTTATAAAAAAATCGGTAAAGTATTTTACCCAGAACTTTCCTCGATATAGAAATTGTAAAAACAGGGAATTCCTAAGCTCTTAAATTATATTAATTTAAAATTAAAACCACCAAACCGAAAACGTGTTTTCACATTTCTCTCTCAATCGATCTTCTCTTGATCCCACCCGAAATCTCACTTCGCGTCCACTCGGTATTATTATTAGTCATGTTATCAAATAATAATAATTGGCTGCTTTTAAAATGTTCCAGTTACACAAACCTTTAATTATATGATTCCTTTCAACATCATTTTGAATTTTTAAAATTTTATTTAGGATCTGTTATCTTTGACTTCTAAAATTCTCAGATACCAATTTTAGTCAAAAACTGCCGACTTGAAAATATTTTTTTTTTTTTCGTAAAAAAACTGCTGACCCTGTATATAACTTATCGGAAGTATAACTGGTTTTGAGCCAGAAAGTAACCTTATCTGAATACAAAATTTGAAGTATTTCTATAAAACCGTTTTTGAGCTATCGTGCCAACAGACAGACATATAGACAGACATATAGACAGACAGACCGACGGAATGGGGAAACATGTTTTTCGTAATCTAGGGACCCTGATACGTGAAAATTTGAAATAATCTCGCAAGGTGACTTTTTACGATTACAATACTTCCCTCTTATCGAGGGAAGTAGAAATAAGTCGTTTAGAATTTATAATATGTCATTTAAAATAATATGCAACTAGAATAACGATATACATATGTCCGCAAATCCTTCGTTTCCGGGATACAGGATGTTATTGTTTTTCTTAAAAACTGTTGATTTATTTATTGCTCTGAAACTGTTCGAGATATGCAAATGAAATTTGGTGGGTTTTAAGAGATAGTTATTGCACATTTTTTGACATGCAATTAAGAATTTTATGTTCATCATTGGCTCGAATACGGGTAATGATCTAAAGAAAAAAATTGTACGCCACAGATATTTCAAATTAAAAATTATTTTTTATTCCCTCGTTCAATTTGTGACAAAAAATCTCGCTTGCCTTTTTTTCGTATGGGGCGTCATTTTTTATGCAAAAAAAACATTTTAAGGCGTATTTTTAATTTCTTTAATACATTATCTAGAAGGCTACTGTCAACATTTATCTTATGTTAAACAGGAACTGTCAACATTTATCTTTTAACAAAATGTCAAATTAGCGTTTATTCATTACTAAGCTTTTTAGTTTGCTATAACATTAATGTTAATAAGTAATTTTTCTTTTATCGAAAAAAATTGAAAATTTTAGAAATGTGGAATTGTCAGACATGTATTTTGTTTATGGTAGAAGTAATGTAAATGGTCGGCAAGCTCAACGATTGTATGCCGAGTTGTATCCAGGACGTAGGGTACCCCATCACACAATATTTGCTCGTCTTCACCAATGTTTGCCCGAAAATTGTACATTTAAGAAACAAACGGGCGCCCTCGAGAAGTACGAACTGTGCAACTAGTAGAAGCAGTACTCGAGTTAATTGCAGAGTCACCTGAAACAAGTACTCCAAAAATGTATTTATTTAAAATTCATAAAGAACAGCAATTGTATCCGTTTCATGTTCAACGTGTGTAAGCTTTACTACCTAGAGATTATTAATCAAACCGCTAAAAATCCTAATTTTCTTAAATGCCGTTTTGTTTATTGATGAGGCTATACGACATTTCCATAACAATCACTAAATAGGCTGAGGAAAATCCACATATGGAATCTTTAAAGCTCATTTTTAGCATCTTTTTTTAGTAAATGTGTGGCTTGGAGTAATTGATGATCATTTAATCGGTCCATATTTCCTTCCACAACGACTAACAGGCGAATCTTACCATAATTTCCTACAGTAAGAGTTACCTGTTCTTCTTGAAAAAATTCCTCTACAGCGGAGACAAAACTTATGGTTCATGAATAATGGTGCACCAACCCATTTTAGCATTAATGTACGTATTCACTTAGATACAGTATATCCAAATCGTTGGATAGGTAGGGGAGGTACGGAACATTGGCCTGCTCGATCGCCGGATTTAAATCGTCTAGATTTTTCCATTTGGGGTTTTCTTAAGTCATTAGTTTATTCCACTTGCGTAGAAAATGTTGAAATCCTGAGGAATCGAATTATAGCCGGGTATGAGGCAATAAGAAATACACCAGAAATATTTGCGCGAATACAACAATCTATGAGGCGACGAGTTGATTCTTGTGTCATATGTCTGAAGGAGGTCGTTTTGAACATTTGTTGTAGCTTTGCGCCTATGTAAAATTTTATTAGTGTTATTTTCTGTTAATGTTCTGGTTTAATGTTACTGTATTAAATAGTTCTTGATAATGTATTAAAGAAATTAAAAATAGGCGTTAAAATGTTTTTTTTTGCATAAAAAATGGCGCCTCATACGAAAAAAAAGGCTAGTGAGCTTTTTTGACACAAATTGAACGAGCAATTAAAAAATAGTTTTTAATTTGAAATATCTCAGTTGCGTACCATTTTTTTTTTTTAAATTGAGATTATCCGTATGCGTGCCAATGATGAACATAAAATTCTTAATTGCATGTCAAAAAATGCGCAATAACTACCTCTTTAAACCCATCAAATTTAACTTGCATATCTCGACAAAGGACCCCGCAGACTTTCAATGGAAATTGGGTTTCATCGAAATTGTCCCATTTTTTGCAGGGAGCGAGCTTTTGACATCCTGACCAAAAGTCCTTATGGGTGGAACAAAATCCTATGTAAGGATTTTGAGTTATTTGCAAAAGAAGGCCTCAATTTTGACGAACCTCAAAAATCGTAAACATCGGGAAACAACACATACAAAGAGGTTAGAGTCTTTGTTTTTTCAAAGTCTTGGACCAAGAAGTTTTTCCAGAATGATTAGCAGTCATTGATGGAGACGCTGTGTATGAGTGCCCATCATTAGGCAACTCACAGGATGGTCCTGAACATTTTCGGAAAAAAATTGACCTTTCAACCAAACTTTTCTAAGTGTGATTTCCTGGATGAGTCGGCTCCGGAAAAGTTGGACTCACTCATGCCCATCAAGGGTATGGGCCCATGAGTTATCGGCCAAAAAAGGTCCCATTTGGCCGATACTCGAGAAGTGTGAAAACGGGGCGGAAAACTCATACAACGATGGTAATATGATCACGTTTAGACGGCTTTGGGCCAAAAAGTCGAAAATGTTCAGTATGGTTGAAAGGTCAAGTATTTCCTAATAGTGTTCGTGACCATCATAAGAGTTGCCTAATGATGGGCACTCAAGCCCGGCATCTCCAGCAAACCCTGCTGGGCATTGTCAAATGACTTTTTGGCCCAAAGCCGTCTAAACGTGATCATATTACCATCGTTGTATGAGTTTTCCGCCCCGTTTGCACACTTCTCGAGTATCGGCCAAATGGGACCTTTTTTGGCCGATAACTCATGAGCCCATACCATTGATGGCCTCGGTCAGTCCAACTTTTCTGGAGGCGACTCATCCAGGAAATCAAGCTCAGAAAAGTTTGGTTAAAAGTTCAATTTTTTGCCGAAAGTGTTCAGGACCATCCTGTGAGTTGCCTATTGATGGGCACTCATACACAGCGTCTCCATCAATGACTACTAATCATTTTGGAATAACTTCTTGGTCCAAGACTTTTAAAAAATAAAGACCCTAACCTCTTTGTATGTGTTGTTTCCCTGTGTTTACGATTTTTGAGGTTCGTCAAAATCAAGGCCTTCTTTCGCAAATAACTCAAAATCCTTACATAGGATTTTGTTCCACCCATAAGGACTTTTGTTCAGGATGTCAAAAGCTAGCTCCCTGCAAAAAATGGGACAATTTCGATGAAACCCAATTTCCATTGAAAGTCTGCGGGGTCCTTTCAGAGCAATAAATAAATTACCAGTTTTTAAGAAAAACACCCCATATTCCGGACACGAAGCATTTACGGACATACGTTTATATAGCAAACTGTCACTATTTTTTCATGCAGAATCACCCCCTGAAGTTTGTCGCACTTATTTACTAACACTATGCAAAATGCTTGAAATTCTCTATTATACTCTTAACCCATTTTCAATCAAATTTTTTTCAGAATCAATAGGCTCATCTCCTTATTAAGCTTAATTTTTCCTGAAGATTTCAAGTTGATATCGTTTTTTTGTTTCTGAGTTTGGATTTTTTTTTAATATTTCAACCCTCCTTATCTCCCCATTTTGATTTATTTATTTATTCCCTTATAGAGCTCGATTTTTACTAAATATTTCATGTTGATATCGCTTTTCGTTTTTGATTTATGTTTTTTTTTTTATTTCAATCCCTCTTTGCCCCCTCTTCTTAATCAGATTTTTTTAATCAATAGGCTTTGTCCCCTTATAGACCTTGATTTTTGCTAAAAATTTTAAGTCGATTTTGAGTTAGGATTTTTTGAATATTTCAAGCCCCCTTAATCTCCCATTTTTATTCAGATTTTTTACAAAATCATTAGGCTTTGTCCCCTTAGAGCTTGATTTTTCTGAAATTTTAAGTTGATATCATTTTTCGTTTTTGACTTATCGTGCGGACAAAAAACGTGACATCGGACAGAAGTAAACCTATAATAATCTTCACAGACTACTATATGAAGAGTATAATAATTTATTACATATTGATATTTAATCTAGGATGCACTGACAATGACATTTCTGAAAGTGAACTAATGTCAATGTCAATTTAAAGTCCATGATCACCTGTGGCATAGCAACATAGCTGCTGATCACTACTCTGTTGCTTTCTACAACAAAATCAATGTAGGGAAACATACGTATAAGACATAGCTTTGCAAGATTGACATAAAGTTCATCGAGCTTAGAAGACTTCTTAATAAATATCTTGAGTTTTTCACCATCCGAAGATTCAAAACATGGTCTAATTTAAAGCTTCAAAAATACAGTTGTGTATTCTCTTAAACAAGAAATATACAAACCATTATTCTGCGCTTTTGGACAATCAGGTGGTGTCAATGGTAATTGTTTCAAACTGGTCGGTGAAGGTATCTACCAAGACAAGATCTGCCTTAATTATTATTTCCATTTTGGATGCCTAATCATATTTCACTAAAAACATCGCTCGTTTCTGTCATTGATATGCATTTGATGATCTGTCCTTGTTTCATTTCCTCCATTCCACCAACAGTGGCTAGACTTTTCGAAACTCCGAAACTCCCTTTCCCAACAAGTTTTTTTATCATTCCAATCCTTTATGGCTGCATTCACAATTTTCTACCTAGATAAACGTTTTAATATACGCACTAAATCAGTAGGACTTTTAACATATATTTAAAAAAATATATATTTTTATTAAAAATATTGAAACTAACGAATTGTAAATTCAAAAATAATACAACTGCCTGGTACCTACGCGCTTTATTCAAACAAAAATCTTAATAAACCCCCAATATTAGGAATGAAGCTATCAACATTCAAGGATTTAGGTTGTCATCCATACACATTAGCTATTAATCCTTAGTACCATCATTGGGGGTTACTTAAGCCACATTTCAACTTCAAACACAATTTAAAAACCATTTAAAAATTATTATGTTTACATAATGTTTTTTAAACATCTATGGTAGAGAAAGCAAAATAAAAATATGGTGGCTTTAGTTACCCGCAGTCATTTTAAATCAACTTTTGGCTTAGGATAGCTAAGAACGGGGTAACAAAGGTCTCAATAAATGTGCCTACGCAATTTGCAACTGCTTGAAAAACGCATAAGCTGTAATTGAGGTGTAAATGGTTTAAAAATAAACTTATACACTACTTGTGATGTTTATTTTATAAAAAAACAAAATGTTTATTTAAATTAATTTTAACAATAAAGGTGCAAAGGGAAAAGTATGATGTCCTCTACTATCTTGACTCTTTTTGCTTCTAGTTTAATCGCTGGTACAATACTGCCTACCTAAGCCAAACAGCTATTTAAAAAATAACGGATCAGATGGCTTTAAAAATTTCGCATCAGATGAACTAAGAAAAATATCAAAATCTCACTCAGAATATTAAAAAATAACCTAAAACATATTTACATATCTCAACAACTATTACTAACCTAAATAGCTGTATATCCATATACGACCCAAGAACTCCAAAAATAATATTAAAAAACAAAAAATAATTTAAAGTAATCCAACGGTACCTAAATTATTTTTTCGACAAGAGGGAACGTGAGAACAACTTTTAGAAAATGTATTTTCTCGAAACTCGCTTCAACTGAGATACCGAATTCCGCTTTTTGGCTTAGGGGGACAGAATAGCATAGAATTGTTTTGTCAATTCTTTTTCTGTGTTTTCATTAAAGATAAGTCCAACAATAACATACATATTCGAATGAAGATCTTTGATTTGTACTAGCGTGTTCTTTATCTTTTTTTTATCATCAGATTCATGATCACAATCAACATCATTAAAATCACTTAAATTAATTTCTACATCTGAATCTCAGCGAGAGCTCGCCATTATCGTCGCTCGATTCAAGTTATTTTTCTTCTTGCTTTTTGAAGTGCTCGGTAGTTGAATTTTTCATTCTGCTTTTTGAAGTTCTCGGTTCTGATTTAGACGCATCGTTACAGTACTCTTCTTCCATAACGTCAAACCCTTCAATGCCTCTACCAGCTGGAATATTCAATTTCCTTTTTTCTGCTTTCTCATGGGTTGAGTCTCTTTTTCGACTCTCCTTAAGAAAACTTTTAAATGTATGAGTCCACATACTACCATAATCCAGATCTTGAGTTTCTTTCCTTTGACCACCTGCTGTCAGTCCAGTGGCACAATCCCTGCTGCGTTAAAACCCCTTTTTAAGAATTTTTTGATGTTTTCTTCACACAACTCATCAATACATTTTTCAAGAATCCAGGGAACTTGATTTCAGGTACATGACATATGACATATTGTAGATTTGGTTACGTCGAAACTATATAAATGCATAACGTTTGAAATGGCATAGAAGTCAAGTACTTATTGTGCCACATTTCACTTAAAAATACCATTGTGGCGAGTAAAGTCATTATGAAGCTCATTAAAGTTTAATAAAAGTAATACCTACTAAGTTTTTTGCCACAGCAACCCCTTATAACTGAAATTTTTCTAATTTACATCCGCTATTGTATTTTCTATTTTTTACAAATTGGATTGGCCAAGAGGTTGGCGTGTTTTTTTTTTTCATAGTATATGGATGATATTTTTGCATATTTAAAAGTAGTTTTTAATAATTCTAAACAACATTTCTTTATAACAATTTTTCGATATTGTAAAAATTTATTATTATTAATATTATTGTTATTTGTTTTAGATATCGAGATAACATCTCAATGGTTTTAGACCATGTGACGTTTTCTATTATGGTTTCAATTTAAGTAGACACCAACAACGAACAACTACTAGACAAAAATCGAATTGCAAGCACTCTTGAACCCACTATTATTGTAGCTGAAAGTGATGTACAGAAAAGTCCACCATTTATTTTGCAGTGTGAAATCGGTGTGCAACAGAAATATCACAGTTCTACGAGCTGGTTCATTCATAAAACGTGTACTCGTACGTCAGAGATAATCAAGCTTGCACAAACCATCCCCACTCAATTTAATAAGCGTCTAGTCTAATAGTTTTTCATGTTGGTAGACACACTTTATGAAAGATATTAAGAAATCAATTATTTTTATTTTCAAAAATGTATTTTTTTAAATAAGAGTTTTGGACTTATTGTCCAACTATCCCTGTAACCAAAATCTCCGATTTCTCTAGCAAAAATAAAAATTATTTTAATATGTTTGTTGATAACAAACGGAATTATTGTTATAGGCCGCAGTGTCAGCACAACATAGCTCCTGTCACAAGAGACCACCTTTACAGGCTACCACCTGTTGCTACGGTAATGGAGACTCACTCATACAGTAGTAGACCTTCCTCAGTCGACCCTTCCAGTTATAGGACGCACAATATGGATTTCTGTACGCGACCTACAAGCGTTGGCTTATCTAATCATCTCACCTACTCTAAACCTAGTTTTAATAAACCACCCAGTATAATAATAGAAGAGGTAAATGATAACTACGAATTAACCCAGTTTACCAACCTCGATAGTTACCCCTATAGTACATCACCGTGTCATAATTATTCTGGACAAGGGTATAATAATACAGGTTTAGATAATGGCTGTATGGCATGATTATTTTTTGTAATTATTTTATTAATATAATTTTTTAGTTTTTAGGTCCCAGTGTTATTTAAATTCTGATTTAATTTTAACTAGCTTAGGTTTAAATAAAAACTGATTTAACTTTGTTCTTTTTTAACAAGTGCCAGTTATAATATTTTAGGAATTTGTCACTTAATATGACAAAGTTATAGAAGTCTTTTTTTAATATCTAGATTAGTTAGTTAGAATTGGATAATAATTTAGTAAATCATTGGTGTTTATAGATATTCGAGATACTTTTCGTTTTTTTTTATTTACTTATCTATTTATTTTAACTGATTTATTTTAAATGTGTACTATACTATAGAGTCTTTTTTGAGTTATTTTTTCAAGAATATTTTGTTAATACCAATGTAATTTTAACCAAAATAAGGCCTTGTTTGTCAAAATGCTTCTACTGTGACTATGAGAATTATTATATATGTAGGTTTTTGATGTTACAAAAGGGTTTTGTTAGAATTTCTCAGGAGTTGGCATATGTCCATAATTATTCTTAATAATCCTTCTGTTACATCAATACATTAAAGATTACAGTGAATAGTGCCTTGACTAACAGTTACCAAGATGATTTAATTGGGAGTGAACTATACATTTTTGAAACGTACTTTATCGCATTAAAAATGACACGCCGTTTGAGAATTTTTTTTATAACAAATCAAACAAGTTGACTGATAAATTTTACCTATGTGACTAAATCATTTTAATCTTTTTTATTTTCTACAACACTCTAGAACATTCATTTATAATTCATCTTTACATGAAGAACTAGGCTATAAAATGTCTACAAATTGTGAAATATTTTCCTGGGAACATCTTATTTCCTAAAAATTAACGACATATATATTCACTCATATACTCTTTATTACTTGTTCTTAAATAGAAACCTATTATAAAAATACAAAAGGACTGTTGACCTGTGTTGCAATGTTTTAAAAACAATCTTACTTTTATTCATTGACATGAAAGTTTCCTCTAATGTGATGCATTAGTGAGCCAAACAACGTTGTTTATAAACTAAGTATTTAGTTTTTGAACTGTTGTTTCAGTTAAGTTTAGAAATTAATTCTGTAAAACAATAATGTAATATAAAATACTAATGCAATAACTACAATAAAAATAATTCAGTTACACCCCTTTAAAGTACTTTTTTCTACTACCGTGCGTAAAGTAACTTACAAATGTTGCAGGACACAAAAATGTCTTCTATAGACTGAAAATGAGCGTACTTTACGCACTAGTGAAAACAAGTAACTTTTATATTTCTAATATTAGTGGATAATGTGTACGGTAGTAGAAAAAATATCGTATGCAACTCGTGTGTAAAGTCCCTTTTTTGACTCATGTGATTGTCGCACTCGCCTAAGGTTCGTGCGACAACATTCACATTCTTCAAAAAAGAGTAACTTTACACACGTTGCATAAATAACTATTTTATGGCTTTCAAACTCGAAACTTAGCTCACTTACTTCACACTAATGCAGAGCATTGTCTCCAAAAATATCATTGAAATCAATAGTAAAGAAATATTTAAACCCTTTCACTCCGGATTTTGTTTGTTTTTTGTAATGTTTGTTTTTCGTGATATAATGAAAGAAAACACTATAAAAGATACAAAATTAACGAATTTTAATTTTTGTATCAAGAAAATGAAAAAATGAGTTGGAGATATATTATGGCCCAGTCATGTTTTATGCTGGAACATAATGTGTCCTGTCAGTGATTAGTTAGGTATGGAAAAAGGTGAAACGATGAATTATACATTGCACATGCTGTTTTGGAAAGCATTTTCTTCTTTTGCTGTGCATACTTATGACATCTTCAATTATTATTACCTGCTACCAGTAAGTGGTCACCGATATTAGATATTCTCTAAGATGATTTAAAATGTTGGTTGTAAAATTTGAAAGCTTTCCAAGAGTCGATCTCTACCACTGACCCATCTTTCACTTTTCCTTTTCGATGACTGGTCGTATTGCAAGAGTACCTTGTCAATTCCCAAGTATCTGAGACTGTCCTCAACTTTGTTCATCTTCAGATTCAATCAAATCAAGGTTTTGTGCCAACTCTTCAAGCTCCTTAGCAGTCATAGCTCTTTTTTCTATTGGCGATTGTGAAAAAGGAGAAATTAACATTGAATACCTATTTGGGACATATAAATAACATGGCATAAATACCGACTGGGATATATGCATCCCAAAAACTGACCTCACTGAGAATATAAGTATCCACCTTATACTACGGAATATTTGATAAACACAACTTACTTTTTCAATTTGCACTTTATTTGAGAACTTCTTAGTCAATAATAAATAAAAAATAATTGTGAACTCGACAAAAACTAGCAAATTTATGCACACTGCAACCCTTGTTTATCACAAACTGAATGCAAGCTGCAGCGTTTGTTACAAGTTTAAATATCAATAAAAAGGAAACTAATTCCAATTCAAATGTGATTAAGACGTAAAATAAAATAAATAAAACCCAAAGCCATATGTCACAAAATAGGAGCGACCGTTTCCCTTCTGAAAACAACTACTCCTTTGGCTAATACCTCAACAAGTATTGAATTATATCGAAAGGAAGGACAGCAGAGATAGAAATTACATTTCAACACTCTATCTTTTTATGCTTACTAAGGAGAACGTCATTCTTGGATCGGTTTCGTCTTTATTAGAACTCTTCAGCAAGAAATAGATGATTCTCAGTTCCAGTCTCTAATGGAATTAACAAAGGCAACACATTCACTAGTATACAATAATGTTGGTTACGAATAGAATAAGAATTCAAGTAGTGAAAATGGTGTCACCATCTGTTCCTAGTAAACGGTCGTTTGTATAGCACCCAGTTATAAAACATGAACGTGTTGCCTTCCTAATTTCATTAGGAGAATCATCTATTTCTTGCTGAAGAGTCCTAATAATAAGGACTCCTTAGTAAGCAAAATCTTTTGGATATAATTCAATACCTGTTGAGGTATTAGCCAAATGAGTAGTTGTAAGGAAAACGGTCGCTTTTATTTTGTGAAATAAGGCTTTTGGGTTTTATTTATTTTATTTTAAATATCAATGCCTGTATATAAAACACTAAAACGTCCCAGCTGAATGCATTTTTAATAGGTTTTCTCACTTTTAGCAATTTTTAAATATTTGATGGAACGTACATAAAGGAGTGAAAGGGTTAAATCGGTAGCTTACCTATAAAAAATATTCATTCAGTCAGAAAAATTAATAAGCCATTCACTTGTTTGTAAAGTAATGCTTGTTAGTAATTTTTGGAGTTTTTTCTAATTTATTGCAGTTTTATTCTAAATTTTATTATAACGATAATTGGCATTATATCTTATCTGAAATATAGAAGCTAAAAGTGCCTCATTAATTTTTATCCTCAAATTATACTGATTTTTAATAATTAAAAATATTAATTGACCAAGCACCTTATTCTCAGACATTTTTCAAATTTATAATTAAGCAACATGGTTCTGTTCACATTTTTCAAATGCATCGGTTGAATTTATACATTAACAATTTTACATAAAGGTGTGGAGGTACATTTTCTGAAACTTCTTACAGTACAGCCAAAAGCGTTTATTATTTTGAAGTTACTTTCAATAAATAATAACAAAAGTGGGATAGTTCTCAGCTTTGCCTGATATGAAAAATTCTTCAAACTCGCTTTTCAAAAAAAAGCAAAAATGATTTTTAAAAATAAAGCATATAAGTGATTAAAGTCTTCTGCCTCTTCTATTTTTATACTGCGTAGTTTTAGATATTTGTTAGTATTCACCTCATTGTTATATATTAATTATAAACGTTACCAGATCTGAAGTGAACTACTTTTATAGTGATGTTAAGATTTTTATAAAGTATATAATTGTTTTGTTACGAGTACCGATACAGATTGTCCTAAATTTATTTAATTGACATCTTCAATTTTCGATCACAAAAGATGTTCTGAATATCCAAAAGTTATTTTTACGAGATTTTAACTATTGATTAGTTTAATGTTTCTAATTTATACGGTAACCTGAGGAAACCAATGAATATTCTTTTGATCTAAAATTGAAGATGTTTGGACTTCTGTTATCTTTTATTATTGGTGCATAATACGCATTCCAACTAAATAGAATAATAGTATTTCTTAATTTCTATTTTTTAATATTATGTGTTTTAATATTATTTTGTGGATGTTACTGCCAAATTTTTACTTTTTAGTAAGTTAAAAGTCTATTTTATGTTTTGTTTTTTTTATTTAATATTTTTCCATTTTTACTTATTTAGTTAGTTTCTTAGTATTTAAAAATTCTTTCTTGTACCTCTTCCATTTTTTAAGTACTTTTTAACTCGAAAAAATGTATTGAAATTGTTTGAGAAAACGATATATTGAAGAATTGTGTACCTGTAAGTCCAGTGAATTATATTTTATAAATTTGTACAATTATATAAGTATTTTTAAATTAGACTTGTTTTAGACAGTATAAATGTTATTTTTTAATTAATTATAACTTTATATACTTATATTTTGATGCACCTCTATTATTTATACTAAAAGCAAGTTAATTTTGAGAGTAAAATATTAAATCAAGTCGGTGATAATCAACAATATTGTTGATTTATTTGTGTGATTTCTTAGATTTTAGTCATTTTAATCTATTTCAATACATTTTTTTAGACATCTGGCGCAGTCAAATATTTTACTGGTTTTATAATTTGGCTGAACTGGACGCGTTTTGTATATTTCACATTTTTGTACCTACTACCTAGTTACTTAGGCAATTATTGAAAATAATTCGCTTTAAGAACTTGCTTTATTAGATTTATGCAGTATATGCTTGTTAAACAATGTTTTAAACACCTTTGAATTTAAATGAAACGTTGGAAAAGTCTAAATTGTCAAAAGACACTACAAAAAAATGTTTCTACAGAACTCGCTTTGTATATGGAATAAAATATTACAAACAAAAACTTAAAACAGAAGCAATAAAAACACTATTTTTTAGAAGCATTTTAGTTAATTAGTCCTTGTTTTGACTAAGATTATACAATAAAATTTAATAAAAATGAACCAAATTCTAAATTTGTCTGATAACTTCAATTTAGGAGGCAAGTTCTATATTTTTATTGAATTCGCATGTAGAAAAGAATAAGGTACCCAAAGAAAAAAAAAATGGAATTACATTATTTTTATATTAAAAGGGTGTTTAAAACAGTTGGTTTTATATTTTAAACTGTGCCTTTTTAAAATTCGAAATGGCACGAGTTTTGAATCAAAATTTCAAAAGAACATTACTTAAAAATGAAAAATTGTGATAAACATGCTAATTTGTCTATAAATTTAGAGCTTAAATAATAACTTTAAAAACCTATAAGAGAAAATAAAATACCAAAAATAAAATTTCATAAAACTAGTCTTTTCCAATAATCAACATATTTTTCAAACAATGTGAAAAGTTTTTCATAAAAACAATTTCTTGATTTGTTTTTCGTGTATATTTTATTTTTGGTGTTATTAAGTTCTTGTGCCATCACATTTATTAAAACTTTTTAATATGAACCATCTCGGTGACAAATATTCTATTTTTGTATAAAAAAATAAGTCTTAAAAATTAGTTTATTTTGTTAGTCCTAACGAATCGATTTTTACCCGAAAGCAGGGATTGAATCACAATGTATTGTTTGTTTCATTGATTTTGTAAAATAGTTAATTTTAAACATGAATTATGTATAATAGAAAAAGGATTATCAGTTTCGGCGAAGAATATTAAAACAAAATCATATGAGGCAAAACACCGAAAACGATCAGATTGAATATCTTGGAATAGACATTAAAAAAAAGCCAATGAAGTCATCTTTCTATCTTATCCTCAACTGTCATAAATCTCATTCCCCTGTTCTCCGTCACTCTAACCAATACATCATTGAAAAGAAAATGTTCTAGAGTAATTCAACATTGCGTTACTTTTGATTCTAGGGTCCTCAAGTGGGATACAAATATTAAGGTAATTTTATTAGTAATTATGGTCGATTGCAATTAAAGTTTGTATTTCTGCAAAAGTTTTTCAATAGTTTTATGTTCTTTTGCATTGTTAATAAAATTAGCTTTCAAATTCAGTTTCACTTTTACAATATGTAAGTTTTGTTATCCTACTAGCGGGCGCTGTATTCCCCCAAAAATTAATTTCTCCATAAAGATATTCAATCGGTTCCCTTTTCGTTGCCTCAGTCTGTATATAAAATTTTCTGTAGAGGAATACCTAATCTTTCTTAAAAATCTCTAATTTATTTAAAATCAATTTAAATTGGTTTTTAGATGAAGGCATGTCTAAAAAATATTTAATTTTATTATAAAGTATCTGAAAGAAAATATATATCCTATAAACATGGATTTAAAGTGCAAAGGAATACGTAACTACCTGAAAATATACTTCAATTTTTCAGTGAGTGTTTTGATGGGGTGATAACTATAATTTCACAAAAAATTTTAGTAACATTCAAAAATTACATGAAAATGAAAGACATCGATTTAATTTTCTTTCCTCCAAAACTTAGTTACATTATAATTGGGTACTTTTCTGACCCTTTAGGTTGGAGTTTATATGATTTTGTATATGTACAAACATTTCAGTACCATGTCCTTAAAACTGATATCTGAATTTGTTCCACTTTTACAAAATCATTTCAGTACTATGTCCACAAAACTGATATCCGAGTTTGTTCCACTTTACAGAAACATTTTTTATAATAGTTTTGGCAAAAATTTTTGATAATTTGCTATTTAAAACCCACCAAAAAAAAGTGATTGTATTTTGTTACCCTGACAAATTTAAAAATCGGGTATATTTATAAAAGCGTAAAAGAGTTATGTAAAAATATAAAATAGATTTTATTCATTCACTATTAAAAATTTGATATAACTCTTTTACTTCTTGGTAAGGAATGTATTTTTGTCAAAAGATTTTTGTACCTTATTCACAAATTGGTTAAAAATAAACAACTACGAAAAAAAATATTTTTATTTAAATAAAAAATACCCTATTCCTGAATTTCAATATTTCTACATATAACTGCAATCCTGCAAAATTGTTACAAAATATTTAATTCTGTAAAAATGTAATTTCGTTGGATATGTCTACATTTTGATCCAAAACTTTTTACCCTAATAAAATAAAGATACCAGAAGGCAACCATTGGAAATAAGGTTTTGCAACAAAAAAATATTTACAAAACAGATTTTATTTTATGGAAAAAAAAAACATTTCAGTGATAAATATGAAATCTATGTCTATATAATTTAAATTTGTACCTAATAAAACATAGGGATGAACATGTGAATGACATATAAATAAACATGTTGAATTTATAATTATGAACCCACAATGATGTTGTTAATTGGGATGTGAATCAATTTTACAAAGAATCCTATAAAACCCATGATGCAGAATCCAATGGCAGTAGCAATGGCGATTTTTTGGAACTCTGAAAAAAAAAAAAGAAAGAAAATTAAACATTAAAAATATATACTGGACAAAATTAACGCAACAATATATTAAATTGGAGTACACACAGTACTTATTTTGTCCTGTCTGGCATAGGCATACATTGAGAGCCTTAACATCTTGTAGTATCTCCTACAACAAGTTCTGCTATAATCGCACGACAGGCAAAAATAAGTCCTGTAAAATGTTCCTTCCACACAAGCAGTTAAAATAAAGAGGTTAAACCAAAACGGTCTGACTTTTAAGCAGAATGGAAAAGTTGCCGCTCATTAAGAGTGGGGTGAAAAGACAAAGGAAATTACAAAAAAAAAACCAGCTAATTTACTTCCCAAGAGCACTTGTGACTAGCCCTTTCAGTAGTAACAAAAATGTGTATTAGTTTCTATTTAATAGCTATGTGTAGAGGCTGGAACATTTTAATTTAGATTTTATACTGATTATTAATAAAACAGACAAAGAAAATTTAACCCTCTAGTATCATCTGATGTCAAATAGTAGATGAAGGTAATTAACAATAACAAACAGATGGCTCATATAGTCATAGTCACTCAACATTATCACAGAGAGTAAAGAAAGAAATATGTCTTTAATAGTTTCAATTTTTTTTTTTATTTTTCAAGTCTTCTTTTATAGAAATATGATTCATTTCAAATTTGGGTTATAAGGGTGTGGGTGATATTTCCCTTGTTTTAGTGTCATAATATTTAATATAGGTCGATGATGTGCAGATTTTGTGCGATTTTTATTCAAATTTCGATTAAATTCATGTTCAAAAATTCAATAATCAGTAGCTTTCTACCTAATGAGTAACAATAAAAAAATTTTTCATACAATCAAGAAAATCTTAATATTTCTTAATTTTTATTTTTTTTAATTTTTCCTTGATTTGTTTACTTCCAATATAAAAAAAAACTACATAAACACATGAATTAACTTATATAAAAAAAACCAAAATGTTAAAAAATCTTAATTGTTCTTTCCATTTCTTCTTCATATTTTTGTAACTTAAGTACAACTTAATGTACATATATTAAAAATTATAAAATTAAGGATACATTTTTTTAGACATATAAAAGCGAAAATAAAAATATCAATATCAGTACCTCATAAAATGTTATTTATTAAAGGTAACCGATTTTGGCTCGAGAGCCATCTTTAGGCACAAAAGGAAGATACATAGGGTTTAAGGCCATTCGCACCGCTTTTACTTAGCATCCAAGTGACACTTAAGAAGGCATAACCATTAGCACCGTTATTAAAGTTCTACTGATCAAGGCGTTAAGAATTACTTTACTAAGTTGACAAGGGGGGTAGCCATGTGTGAGTTGAGGTAATTTTAAGGTGAAGGGGGAGAAAAAGTCCTTTATATCTCACAAGGAAAGTTAATGTTTATTTATTCAATAAAACATTGAGTACTTTACTAAGCCCAGAAATTTTTCAGCTTAAACCATTACTTAACCTTAAAATGTTTAATTTTTATAATTTTGAATGATATTCACCGTCATTGATTAATTAGCACTAGTGATCGTGATTTTTTAGTAACAGCGTTATTTGTCACTGTGATTTTTAAATATCAGTTATTTTAAGTCGTGACGTGATCACGGTTTTAAATGACTTATTTCACTGATACTGATATGTACTCTATACATCAAATACGTTACAATAGGAACAAGATCGATTGCAGCCGCACGTCATTACTTTTGTACACTTATGTTACCTATTTATGTTCAATTTTGTTATGAAATATCCTTATGAATGTAATTTAAGGAACTATTAAGAATATAATAATTAACAAAATGAGATATTGTGTTTATGCTACAGCACCATCTTTCGATTAATGATATAGAACTTTCAATAATAACTTATTGGCCGATTTGAGAAATCTGAAAAATATTACTGAATATTCCAATCGTTGTGTTCCAATGTTAGAAGGAACAAGAAGACGGACACGAAAAAATCACAGTCACAGTTTGGTAACAATTTTAGTAACAGTCGTTACCTGCTACTTTTTAATATCAGTAAAAAAGTAACAGTTCATGAAATATCGCTTATCACTAATTAGCACTAGTTATACAAATCAGTCTATTAAGTACTAATACGTCTTGGTAAAATTGCAATACCCAAAATGGAAATACTAAAGATGATGAGGCTTTGAAAAAACTCGATTTCATTAATATTATGAAGAATATAAAATAATATATACAAGAAATGTTTACTTTTGCACTGCGATTTAGGTTGACCGAAGAAATGTCTTAATTGCATTGATGAAATTGAAGCAAATTTATAGTATCCTTATAATAAATATGTAGGTTTCAAACTCAAATATTTTTTGTAAAATTAGCATTAAACTCTTGGTAGTATTGGGTACCTCATCCTCATCTTTCAACGTTAGTATGATTTCTATAATTTTTTTATATTAACTTATTGAATTAATACTAATTTTACTCTCATTATGGATATATTTTGTGCTCTATTTTATTATTTCTTAGTTCGTCTATTTTTTTTAAATAGCCCTGTGATACAGAAGAGAGTTGTTATCTCTTCTGCACCTGTGATAATCATAACTTTAGCTGCGTTCAATGAGACATAGCAATCCCAACCGATACCAATCACTTTCGTTTTATTTTTGTGCTAGTTTCTACTGCGATCAAGAAAGTTTAGCGAGAAACTTCTTAAAATCAACCTAAAACCTATCGCTATTTGCGATTGCTTGTAAAAATATCTTTAACAACCTGGTTGTGCATTATATAGAGATGAAAAATAATGTAAATAAATGATTGTATATTTGATGCATGTCATCTACTTACTTTAGGAATATATTTATAAAAGTGAAAAAACGATATAATTTAGGTAAATAAAACGAACAAAATGCACTCAAAAAATCTACTGTCACTTTGTCAGTGGAACCATAATTACATCATCACTGAACTAGCGTATAGCAGTATTCAAAAGGGCCAGCGTCATAGATGGTAATGGAATAGGATGATGTCCAGGCTGTAGTGCAACTTTTAAAGGACAAGATCCAATATGTGGACAAAAGATGTGGGAGAAATCATTGACACTGATGAGACCCTTAAAAGGAATATATTCAATCAGTAGCGTCAAAAAAATCGAACACTGCTACAAAAGTTGGACGGTGTGTAGAACTTTACCCTTATATCGTGGGCTTACAAGTAAAAGGCATTAAGTCAAAAAATAAGTTTATGAGTTATAAGTTATATAAAGTTTCAATGAAGTTCTAATTTTTTTTAAAAATATTTAGGAATATTTCGGAATACAATGCACTGTTTTTACATGATATACAAAAATATAAACCCATTTTTGAAATAGTGCCTTTTGCTTGTAAGCCCACGATATACAGTTTAAGTAAATTTTATAAGGTATCTTCCTTTTAGGTCTGAAGATGGATCTCTAGCCAAAACTGGTTGCCTTTGGTAACATTTAGTTAATAAAAAACATTTTATGTAGTACTCATTTAGAGATTTTTATTTTCGCTTATGAAAATGGCTACATTTGAGCAGTTGAATAACTTCTACGATTTAGATATATAAAATATATATTTTACATATACTTATAGGATCAATCGGTACCATATGAAAAAAAAAAAAAAAAAAAGAAAAATATTTTTCAGTTTCTACAACTTGATTAGCAACAAGAATATTTTATTGAGAATCAGTTTCAAGGGGTTTATGAACATGCTGAACAGAAATCTGGAATCAAAATTTAAATAAAATATCATTATTATACTTTTATAGAAAAACGATATCTATTTTCACCCTGTGAAGGGAACCTATATCAATAGTATCTATGTGAAAACAATCAAAATATACAACTAAATTGATCTCCAAACTTCTAATGAAAAATCTGATGTGTCCAACACATGACTTTCCTGTCTAGTTATTACAGGCCTTTTCCGGTTATTTTATACAACCTATTGCAGCACCTCCATAAATGTTTAGAGGATAAAATAAATATATACATTTTCCACATACATTTACCTTGAAACATTTTTCTATAGATATTCATTGAAAATGAAACTACTGAAAAATTTAAATTTAGCACTTTTCCTACAATTTTTCCATTACGGTCCATTTTAGAAAAATCATGTATAAACAAAAATGATCGATGATCGATATCGCAAACAACTTTTATTTCAATAATTTTCATAAAAATCGGCATTTTGCACATTTTGTCAAATTTCTCGAATACGGACCATTTCAGGAAATTTTGACATAAAGCAAAAATTATAGATAATAATATTAGAAATAACTTTTATTTGAACAATTTTTTTCTCCAACCATGAATAACAGATATTCCATAAAATATAAAAACGGCCCCCCATAAAGTACCGCCCCAGATGTTCCGACTTTGTCCAAAATCTAATCATTTCACGTCAGGCCGAAATAAAACTTAAGTTTAAAATTTAATGTTTTTTTCTTTATCCGTTTTTGAGTTTTCTTCAAATTTCGAAATTTACACATTTTCTCAAAAATCTCGAATACGGTCCATTTTAGAGAAATTATGTATAGCATAAAAATTATAGAGAATTATATTACAAACAACTTTTGTTTGAACAATTTTTATAAAAAAATATTTTTTTACATTTTGTCAAATTTCTCGAATACGGACCATTTTAGGAAAATTTTGTATAGAACAAAAATTTTAGATAATAAGATAAGAAGTAACTTTTATTTGAAGAATTTTCTTCCCCAAACGTAAATAACAGATATATTCCATAAAATATAAAAATGACCACCTATAAAGTACCCCCCAGATGTTCCGACACTGCCCAAAATCTAATCAGCACATTGGACGCTGGAACAAAGCTTAAGTTTGAAATTTGGTGTTTTTCTATGTATCGGTTCATGAGTTATGTGACACACACACACAGACATCATTGCGAAAATAGTCAAAACGGATTCAGGGGACCTCAAAACGTAAAAATCCGTCGAAAACTCGAGGTCGAAAAAAATCATGATTCCTATACTTTCCTTATATCTGTATACAGATAGGAAAGTAAAAATGGGACACTGTAATTGTTTTGAAATTTTAATATACAGTATCTGCTATTGAATGCTTTCCAATATACTTTACCACAAGTGCATGTGAAAACTGTAGACACTCAGCATAGTGGGAACAGAAAACGAATAATATCAGCATTGTCAGTTTATAAGGCTTGGCCAACAATACAATGCAGTATAAACAGGCAACTCTAATATTATTTGTTTCCTGCTCTCACTGTATGAAATCTAAGGCAGTCTCATCACTTACAAACATGCTGTATTATTTGATAGATGGTGCTCTGTTTCTCTCAGTTGAAATAACCTTTCATTTCTGTTTTTATTATAAAAAATGAGTAATTTGTATGGTCAATAAAATAGTAGCTTATAAATATACTGATTTCTATGACTAAAATATCTAAATGAATCAAATAATGTTTTTTGTGGATGTATTGCAGATTATGTGGGTTGTTACATATTTTGTAGTTTTTGGTTCAACTGAAAAAAATATTGTTATGATTTGGCTACATAATTATGGCAAGTTCATAATATACTATTTTATTTAATATATAAGGTCCAAACAAATTGCGATCTTGTAAAATTTCACCAGTAATGTTTTGTTAGGAATTTCAAACTGACATTACTGGATATGTCTAAGTGAACAACTGTACCTGAATGTACACTTAGTTTATTGTTAAAACAAATGATCTATTTTTTATATTTAAATTCAATCCCTCATTGAATGGAGATGAGATCGAGCTAGGCAACCAATATTGCAGGTACATTCTCTTAAACTAAAATGATATACAGCCAGATTTATTAAAATGTATGAGCCCAATTAACTTTAACGGGGCTTGAGGATGTAGGCAACATATCTAAATGACATGAACATATTACTCACAGTATAAACATTTATTATCAGGCTAATAAATTTTAATGAACACTTTTTTAATGAGCAATAAGAGTTTTATTTTTAAAGTGGGCTTTGTTTTTTCTCAAAAACTTCATTTACTGAAGTATTACTTTCAGATGTTGAACTATCTGAAGGATATTGGTTTGGTGGATAAGGTTTTAGAAGTGACTGAGCATTCATATTCAATAAGAATAATATAACAACCAAATCTGAAAACCTGGATTAATCTTGAAAAACTCAAGCTCAAGATGGGTAACCATAAACTGCAAACAGACAAGGGTCTGATTTGAATGAACGTTGTTTAAGGACACAACATGACAGATCTCACAGTAGATTGTATTTGCAAGCCATTTTTAGGATTAAAGATATCTTGAGTAGTTCCTTGTGTTGACATACTTTTACCTTATCTTTGCCAAATTTCTAATAAATTTAATTTTAATTGAACTTACAAAAATCAGATCTTGGTAGACAACATATATAGGGGATATTGTGGTATCTAGGTACATAAAGATGTGTAAGCTTATTAAATATTAAATTTATTTTTTACTAAAAAAATTCTTACCTCGCCTGTCTGGTTTAGTACATCTTTTAACTAATCTAATAGAATCTTTAGCAAATTGTTTGCCAGGTTCAACGAATTTTGTGATTTGATCCATATTTCTAAAAAAAACAAGGTACAAAAAACTTGGAGATAACTTTTCAAAATCATTTAATTTTACGTTCTGCAGTTTAAGTATTGATATATTATATTACTTACATTTAGTGTAAATTTAATACTGGTTTTATAACTGTATCACAAACTGTACCTACAGCTACGTCGTCAGTAAAAAGGAACCAAAATTCTTAGCAATTCCGTTTCTCAAATGTATTTCTAAAGAGTCAATGACAAATCCGGCCACGATGGCATAAAATCGTACGAAACGTCAAATGACGTGTGCCTACCACAAATAAAGCAAGGTTATAAATCAAAAAGGAGAGGCAAAGTGAATTAAAATGTATGTGACTGCTATTACGTCATAGACAAATTCTTTGTAATCTACGAATAAGAATTTAAATAAATCATTAGATAAGGACCGATTCCACCGTTGTGTTAAACGAAGTTTAAAATGACATTTTTACATTAACAATCGGCCCTTAATTACAAGAAATCCTTCTAAAGATAAAGATAATGGCTGTAGTAGTCGACGCCGATGACACTTGTTCTGAGGATAACACCAATGGACACCAAATTAAAAAAAAAAAATATTTATTCATTTAAGAGAGGCAATACGCAGAACATTCTATCCGTTTTGTTGGTTGCCTATAGAGAATGTGCATGTATAATTTTTTCTTAGATATTAATTTATGTCATACCTACAACCTAAGAATTTCGTTAAAATATATATTCAGCAATTGGGAAGAAAAATTCGAAATTAAAAAAAAAAAATATCATGAGTCCCCTCCACGCCTTCGTAAAAATGAAAACTATTTTTATATATACAAAGTCATCCAATAATCAATTTCATGATGCACTATTTTTTTTTAATGAAATTACATATTTTTCGTTAATTTTTAGAATTTTTGTTGTCATTGTTGCATACCCCCAAATAATTTTTTACTTTCGACTTTTATTTAAAAAAAAAATTTTTCATAACCTTGTCTTAAAATCAGTCATATGCCAGAGTATACCCATACAGAACAAAGACATTTCCGAAATATTTAAAAATGTTACATTGAAATATTTGTAATAAATATTTGTATAAATATTACGAAACCTCTCAGAAACATTTCTAAAATGTTACTGAAATGTAAAAATGTCCTGTAAATTTAATATTTAACAGTAATATTTCTAAAATAAAAATTTGACATCTTTCAGAAAAATGTACTCTAGTTTTGTTTCATAAATATTATGAAACGTTGTAGAAACGTTTATGAAATATTTTTGGAATAGCAATGCAAAATGAATGCGATATTACACTGTAATATTTTTATTAGACTAAAAAAGACATAAAAATATACATGTTCTTTTAAAATACACAAAACAAGAAATTTTTCAATAAATTTTCGCCTTTTACAACATAACCCGTTTTGTAACCTTTCGTGTAATATTTACAACCTGTTTCAAAAACATTTTCAGTAAAATATTTAACTAAAATATTTCAGAAATATTTCAGAAACTTGTGCTTGAAATGTTATGTTTTGAAAAGTTTGAAATATTTTTGAAATACTTCTGAAATAATGTGTGCTGTATGTGTACCTACCTATACAATCTAACAATTTTGAAAATTTCACTTATAAAACTATATTTCCCAGATAGCACAGGACGTCCCATGGACGTCCTGATTTGGTCCGGTTGGTCCCGGACCTAAATAGGACGTCCACTGGACTTCCGATTACTGTGGACACTAGGACGTCCTCTGAACGTCCTATTTTGGTCCCGTTTCGACAAAGCGTTTAGTTTTCGGTCCGAGTCCAGGACGTTAATGGGACGTCTATTGGATTTTCTATGTACTAGCATCGTTGGTCTTTCAATCGATAACTTGAAATTCAACGTTAGAGGTATGGCAGCCCTACTCGGACGTCTGATTTACGTCCCTAGGACGTCCGGCAAAGGTACCTATGACATCCTTTTGGGACATTAGGACGTCCACTGGACGTCCGATTGACGTCCCGGTACCAAAAGATGACGTCCCTCAGACGTCCTTCATGTCCCTGAAGGACGCCTTTAAGACGTCCATAAGACGTCCGTGTGCTATGTGGGTTGTTGCACTCCTGTATCAATTAAAGTATTTTTGAACGAAATATTTTCTATAGTGATGCCGCGAGACGAGATATTCTCGTCTCTCGTCTCGTCTTATCTCGTCTCGAACGAGACGAGAGAGACATTTTCTCTCGAAAACAGATTCGAGACGAGAGAGTGTCATCTCTCGACGAGAATTTCTTGTTTCTCTCGAGCTCTCTCGGGCTCTCTCGAACAATTTTCTCTTTGCTTATTTGAAATTTTCAATTGCTTATCGTAACTTAAAATTTTAACATATTAGATTTCAAAAAATTAACTAAAACACACCTATTCTATATATATTAAATGGTAACAAATGATTCTTGTGTTATTAGGATTTTATAAATAGTGATTTATAAGAAGAAATATTTCTCATTTCATTTATTTAAAATTTATGAAATCATTTATTATATTTAATCCATTCTGCTTTTCTGAGGTTACTTTTGAAGATAAGTTGAAAATGTTTAAGCGTTTTTTCGAAAAACTGTCAAAGAAAAGGTAATACAAACGAATGTATTATATACAGTGAGGACGAAAATTGGACCCTCCTCTATTTTACCTTCTAAATGAAAAAGGACAATGACAAAACAAAAACGAGGTAAAACTCAGGAGATATATTTTTGTTATAACGAGATGCACTTTACTTGAGACACGTAAGATAGAGGGAGTTACTAGCTTTAAATTTTCTAATGGAAAGTTGGGTCATGTGATACCTCATTTGAAAGGTATTTTATATATTTTTACGTTCATGTAAACAGATTTAGGTTTTTATGTTTTTACAGAAATTACATTAAATAAATTCATAAAGTAGGTTAAATTCTTTTTTTTATTTACCGCTTTAACCTCAAAGGATCATTACCGGAGGTATAATACCTTATAAATGCTGTTTTTTACAATAGTATACAATGGATAATTAACATTTTGGCTAGTACAGAGTAAATGTCAGTATATTTTATAAATTTAAGTAATTTTTTACTATTAGAGGGGATTCAACACTGCACAAATGGCAATTTTTTGTAGCTGGGACTAAAATAAATAAATTGAGAATATCAATGGTGATTTAAAAACCAGTTGACATAATAAATTTTTCATAATTTCTTGGCAAAAACAGCTTATTAAAAAATTATCTTCTAACATTATCTAACATTTCTAGGATTATTGCGGCACACGAGGATTATCAAAAATGTAATTTTTGTAAAAACAAAAAAAAAAATTCAAAGTGTGTGCTTGGACGTAAATATAATAATAACTGTCAAATGAGGTATTACATGACTTTATTTTTCATTAGAAAATTTAAAGATAGTAACGCCCTCTATTTTACGTCTCAAGTAAAGTGCATCTTATTATAACAAAAATGTCATGTTTCTCTAATTTCACATCGTTTTTGTTTTAAGTCTCTATCTTCTTGCATTTTGAAAACATACTACAAAATGCTTTCATTTGACATCGCAGGATTGCATTAGAAAAATTCTAACTTCCAATTTAACCTCTTCCCTCCTCCCCAACTGACTTACAAGACAAAGTATTTTCGTTTTTAGTTAACGCCTAATCTGGGCCACTTATTACTTCAAATTTCAATTGTAAAACGACTGTGACAGACGGACAGACAGAGAGACATAAGTGTTTCTTATTGCCAAATTTGGGTACTAATGTGCAAAATACTTGAAACATTCTTTTGTCTTACAAATTTTACCGTTTTTCATGTTTCGTTTTTTACAAATTTAAATTTGATATTGTTTTATCACGAGAGAAACGAGACGAGACGAGACAAGATGAGAGAAAGGCTCTCTCGAGCGAGAGAAGGGCCTTCTCGTCGAGACGAGAGAACAGTTTTCTCTCGCCCTATGAGACGAGACGAGAGAGGCCACTCTCTCGTCTCGTCTTGTCTCGCGGCATCACTAATTTTCTAATTGGAAAATTAAAAAAATAGTAAAACATGAATAAAAAGTGTTTTGTATGTGGTTCAAAAAAATCTCTTGATTTTGATAATAATTCATTTCGAGTATGTTTTTTAAAATTGGCTTCCGCAAAAAGCAAAACTTCAAATATGGAAGTATCGAGCTAACTAAAGAATCGCTAGATTTTGTGGGTTATCACTCCAAGTGTTATAATAAAGTTACAGTTTTATGTAATAAATATAAAGAATTTGAAAATTTTGTAAAAAATCATGAAGTAAGTAAAAATTTTTGTATAAATCAAAATCTTAAATTAGCAACTTTTATGTGAATTTTTTTTTAAATAATTTAAATAAAGAAGAAAAATGTACGTTGATTTTTCAAATATTTTACGTTTGTAAATATAATTTATTTTATCATCATTATGTTGATTATTTAAAAATTAAAAAAAAAATGATCCTTCGAAAGTTTGGCTCGCAAGTTCAGCGACTTAAAAAAAACACACACAAAAACCTCAATTTCATTAATTACAGTGATTTAGATAAGCCTACCAGCGTTTCATGCGTATACTGGATGTGATTACACAATACAAACAATTTTCAAAAAATGAGACGTACCAAAATATGTTTTCGTCATTACTTGACGAAGCTGATATTTTCTATAATAAATGACTTAAGGAATAAAACCCGTTCTTCAAACAGTGTAAATCCTAGCCCAGATGAACTAAACAATTATTTCGTAAATGTAAGTAAAAATATCAAATCTAACATAGCTCCGAGTCAGGATGCTCTCTCCTTCCTCCTACCTACTAAAAGGATCACTGAAAGTTTCTTCCTAAGACCAGTAGACAAGCATGAACTAGTGCAAACCATAAACAACATCCAAAATAAATTTTCCTGTGGAATTGATGGCCTGTCCACCAAAATATTTCTAAATATACCGGATGTAGTAATCAACATTTTAACTTCACTGATTAATGAATCCTTTGAAATTGGTCTCTTTCCTAACTGTCTAAAAACAGCTATAATAATCCCACTTCATAAAGGTGGCGACAAAACCAAAACCTGTAACTATAGACCTATCGCCTTATTGCCTACCTTATCGAAGATAGTAGAACGGCTAATGAAAAACCGTCTTTTGCCCTTTCTTTTCAAGCATAACATCCTCACAGCTCATCAGTATGGCTTTCTACCTAAAAAATG